TTTACTTTGAAATTTTGCAAACGACCTGTTGTGACAAAAAGGTGCACCCAACACCCACAACACATACACACAGCATACACATTCACCCACGTCTAACGAAGGACATCATTAGACGGCGATGGCGGAAAACAATGTATAATAATTGCAGTCGATGGAATTTTTAGGTCAATTTAAAGTGTAGTCAAGTTCTTTTGCAAAAAATCTGAACAAACTTTGAGTGTTGTATAAAAATAAGGGAAAAAATGTCTATCTCAACTAATTGGAATTTAATGCAGCACTCAATAGATGCAAGAAAAATGAAGTTGAAACTTGAAGTAAACGATGAAGGAAGAGGAAACGAGAGAGATAAAGAAAGTTGTAAAATATGTTTTAATTGCAAAAGCACTCTTGGCTAAAAAATTTGAATCAATGAAACTAATTAGTTGCGCCGGTTCAGTTTCCTCCCACTCTCTCCATCTCCGTTCACAAGAAGTATTCCATAGAATTTTTCACTTAATTATCAATTAATATTTATTGTGTCGTAAATGGACACACCAAGATAAAATTAAGATTTTGTCGTGACAACACAAAACAGAAGCGAACGGAGGGAATCTCATCGTATGAAAATTCCACCTATAGAAATTCGGTTGGCCACTGTAAATTGGGCAAAAAATGCAATATGTTTAATATCGCTCTCTCGCTCTGGCTCTCACTTATGCACATCCATCCGCGTTGTTGCTGCATTGGCCGTGTTTTTTGATCCAGAAAGTTTGTTAATGAAATTATAATGTAATATTCGAAGCGATTCACCCGTGTCGATATTGAATCACAGAGTGTGCTTCGCTCACATCGCGCTCATAAAATAATATGTATCTCTTCCATTCCGGTAACGGACAAGCAAACCAACAAACAAATGAAACATGCCACAGTCTAATAAACTGCGACGGAACGCTTTTCTCGCCCGTACTCCGTTCGCAATAAGGGGGACGTGCAAACGCATTTTACAACACACAATAATAAACAGTAAACATCAACACAGTACCTACACCAATTTTTGTAGGATACAAAAGTGTGTGACGCTTCCTTGTGTTGTCGTTCAAACAGTTTATTGCTATTGTTATCACATTACCATCATTCTTGTTGGTGCTGCGGCTGCTGTTGTTGTTGTTGTTGTTGTCGGTGGCGGCTGTCGACCGTTTTTTATGGGTGTGTGTGTGTGTGTGACTTTTCATGCGGAAGGAAATCTTTTTCAAACCAAAACTGCATGTGGTACGCTCTTTTTTCCCACAATACACAACACCGTCGCCGACGACGACAACGACAACAACACCCGAGACACGTCGTTATGATTATTATATGAATGAAATTTACGCTTTTGACTTTATTAAACACCTTTGAGCGCAATGCAGAAACGAGGACAAACTAATTGGAAAACGTTTTGCCGAAATGTTTGACAACCATTGAATCGAATGAATGCGATATGTTTTTCAATTTAATCAATATTTCTGTTTTTGATGATGACAATGTGCTGGATGATATTGAAACGCCGCGACACGGATGTAACATTTAAATCATTGAAATTAAATTGTTGTGAAAAAAAACAGTTCCAGCCAAACAAACAAGAGAGAAAAAAAACTGAACTTTTGAGACTAATGAGCAACTGCATTTGACAAATTTGTCATTAAACACAAAAGAAACTTCATGCAAATAGAACGGATGACATTTCTCTAAATGGGGTGGTATCGAGAGATGGGCTTTGTTTTACAGGCAATCTCGTGATTTTTGAGTCAGCACCAAGCTGAAAGCAATCAATTGTTCTTGAAAAAGTCAGTGTGAAATAGAGTTCCACATATTGAATAGGTTTTAGTTTAATAGGAATTTATTGCACCTTGTCTGACAGCAAACGTTTATATTTTTTTATTTCATCTAGCGAAAATTCATTTTTTTTCGGAACGGGATTGAATGTTATATGAAAAAGATGTCAAATTCAACTCGCATGACTTTGTTTTTTGCGCCGCACATTTCTCATGAACTTAAACTGGACATCAAATAGAACACTATAAATTTTACTACTGAAATTTTTTAATGAAATGAAATATTTTGCTATTGACATTTTTTGTTATTATTTATCATTCTTCCGAATATAAAAGTGGGAATAGCATGGAAACTGAACTCTTTCCCAACCAAATGAAAATCTTCTTTGATTCTTCTTGTGAAAATGAAAATGAATATCATTTTGAACGCCTTGATCACATCAATTAGATCCGGCAGCATTAACGACCAACATAGAAGTTGGCCAACAATCATGTAGAGTGTGGAGTTGAAATAAAAATTGTTACACTTTGTTCAATCAAATTAACGTTTGTGTGATCGAATTTCTTTATTCTTTTCGTTTTAGAATTATTATTCGCATAATTAAACATTAGGAGAAGCCAGCGAGCTTATGCAATAATTGTTTTCATTATTTTCTTCAACTTTTTACATGAACATTTAGAAAAACATTAAATCTTATTTCATTTCATTTACAAATTAAGTTACAATCTTCTGAGGAGTTTCGGTCCTACTGACATCAACTTCATCTAATGTAATCATTCAGAAGATTTGTTGATTCATCATTGGAGGCTAAATGAAGAAAAAAAACACGACCTTTTTCGGGATGTAAGTCAAAAAATCAAAATCGCCGCAACTAATTAGGAGATACCGCCCAGGAACAGATATTATGTTAGCTGAATATAAAGATTCGAAAGGAAATAACAAATTCAAAAAGTTTTTTTTTTCAGTTTCAAAATTTAAAATGGAGTTCGTTTAAATGTATGAAAAAATCTTCTAGAAAAATTTAAGATTTGTTTCAAATATTTTGATTCAAACTTCATTGTTTGCGGAAAACATAGAGTATGAAAATCAATCTATTTATCAAAAAATCTTCTTTGATCCGTGGTGTATCGAATTAAAGCAAATCTGTATCCATTAATACTTGATTGGATGAAAAGCTTCAATATTACCTTAAGATCAATTTATCATTCAAGACGAAAGCACTTGAGTGTTCTAAATCATTCGAATGATCAATTGATATTATTAATCGAGGAATTTATCGATATTTTTTTTAACAACTATTTTCGTAGTTATTATTATCAAAAATTATCAGAGAAAAACGATTTTTCGAAATACTCAGCATGAAAAACTGAAATATTCCTAACAACATTTTTTGTTTGTGCTATTTTTTTTCGGTTAATTGTGAAATCTGAGTCGATTTTTGGGGAAATTTCCCGGATTCTCCCCCATTCATTCATTCGTTTTATTTTCATAAGATTTACAAAAATGATTGAAAACTCTAGGAAAAATTATTGTTCCATTGTAGACATTGTATTGTTTCGATCATTTATTTACAGACGTAAAACTTCTCGTTTTTTATCAACCGGTATAAATTGAGCGACGACTTTTGCTGTCCTAGGGTCTCAAATTAAACGTGTAATTAAACGCTTCACATAGCCTTTGTCCCTTTGGAAACGTTTACCAAAGGTTGTCCTGGACCGTTTGCCCATGGACTAATATCATGCATTTCCATCTTGGTTGTATGATTGTTTTCGTTTTCATGTTCCTACTATTGTGAATACCGCATGATGTACGAAAAAAGCCAGGTTTTCAACGAGGCGAGAACTGAAAGGTATCGAAAGTTACTGCTCATTATTTATAAAAATTGTAACAGTCTTGCACTCTTTTTCGGCCAAACCTTAATCGAAACCCACATTATATTCAGCCAGAGTTTGGTGGTGTTTAATAAAATAAAATAAAATTTGAAGTGATATCATTGTGATGCACACAAGGAAATTCCGCGCAAAAATCCACCGTTAAACTTTTAACGCAACTAGTTTCATTTTTTGGGAACTAAGCCATTGAGTAGTATATTTTCAATACAACAAAAAATCTCAAAGAAATAAAAAAAGAGTGGCTTTGCCTCAAATATTTAACAAAATCGTTGAAAATCTGCATACATCAGTAGCCATAAAAACTTTTATGGGAGCTATGCAAATGGATGATTAAATCATTTGATCCATTTCCTGTTGACTATCATCACATCTATCATCAATCGTAAAGAGAATGTAAACTTTTATGATTATGTTAAAATGTAATCACTAAGTGGTTGATTTCGATGTTAGGGTTCTGACGTTGATAACGCAATTGAAAGGCCAATAGATAAATGGCTATGGTTAAATTTCTAATTCAAACGAAACTAAACGAATTTCATGATAATCTGCAGTGAATCAATGCTAAGTCTCAATGGAAAATATTCTAAAAAAAACGATTACAGTAGATCGAATAAAAAGTGGAAATTTGAATTTGTAATGCCCAATAATGACGCAGTTTCAAACAAAGTAAAACGATTCAAAAACATAAATTCAGTCAGTCTCACTACTCCCATGGCTCTCGTTGAAAGGATAAAAAATATATCAACTTCGATAAAATACGTGCGGAGAGATTGTGTTATCAGTTCATGTGAAAGCTTCATATCAATTTCTCAGAATTGAAAAAAAAAATTAACAAAGAAATGACAAAACTTCAATTGAATTTGGTTCAATTCAACCCAAAAAAAAACTCCGTCAAATAAATATTGATCGACAATCGTCAATGTGTAAAATGAATCTCAGTTTTATTTGAAATGATGTAAAATAAATTATTCATTCGGAACACAGAATTATTTAGAAAAAAAAAATAAGTAGCTGCAAAGTACTTTAGCATTAAGTGCGCATTAAGTACATAGAATAAAAAATAGTACCTTCGGTAGATATTACGGATTGCAGATTTGGATTTTAACGTTCGTCATTTTTGTTTTCGTGTGGAGAAAAAAAATGAACAAAATTGTTATTAAAATGAAATCCGTATTTTGATTCTGAAAGATCGAAGCGGAAACAACAAAATGATTTGCTCTTGGGCAAATGCACGTTAAAATAGTTGGTTCGGTGTGCTTAAGTACTCATTTTCGGTTCTCTGTGCTGCAGCAGCAGCGGTCGTAGCAGCAATTGCGGCTGTCATTTTGAAATGTTTGCACTTTGACGTGTCTCAACCGTATTTGACACAAAAGCTACACCGAGCATTCTATACGTATATTTGTGTGTTTGCCATCACATATAGTATCTATGAAAATTTGTGTGTGCCGGCCGAGAATGTATGGCGACGTGTCACTGTTAGAAAATTAATGTTAAAACATAATAGCTGTGAAAAATCGTTGTTATTCATTCGGTCGATCAATAGATAAAGGACGAAACGGGGGAGCTTGCTGAACGAGAAAGAAAAAAGTACTTCAATGGTTCAGCTTAGCAAATAAATCAGATAATTTAAGAAAATGTAGCGTATTTTTTGTGTGCTCATAAGGTGTTTTGTTCTGTGTATGTGTGTTTGGTTCTAAATGGTTCTGTTCTGTTTCTTTTTTTTCCTTTCTTCTTCTCCTTTAGTTCTAGATATTTTGTTTATGGACAATGAAGACATCTAAAGGTATAGTTATCAATCGAAAGGCAGCCGGCTGGAGTAGTTTAATTACTTTTGCCGTGCTAATGCTGGCATGGATATCAGGATTTGCATCCCGATTATTCGCTGTCATTCGTTTCGAGAGTATCATTCATGAATTCGACCCTTGGTAAGTGTGTATGTGTGTGTGTGTGATTGTGTAAATGTGGCGCCTTATCGAACCGATGTGGTGTCATGGTTAAATTGGAGCAAATGTTTGGAATGCATTAAATTTTAATTCCATTATTCGATTTATAATCGTTTAGGTTTAACTATCGTGCCACGGCATATATGGTTGAGCGCGGTTTCTATCAATTTTTGAATTGGTTCGATGAGAGAGCATGGTATCCATTGGGACGTATCGTTGGTGGAACTGTTTACCCCGGCTTGATGATTACATCGGGCGGCATTCACTGGCTGTTACATGCATTGAATATTCCCGTACACATTCGTGATATTTGCGTATTTCTTGCGCCAATATTCAGGTAAGATCCGAATGACTAGCCTACTGTGACACATTTCGTGTCAACCATTTTCTTATCGCATTCGTATATCGACGTCGAACCAGAAAATAACCAGACAACTATAAAATTCATATCTCTCTATCAATCTAGGGGCATTTCTCACGAAAAGAATGAATGAATTCTTATAAATTTTGAAAAATTCTTCCATTCAGTCCGATTCGATCAATTTTTATCAATTCGTGTAAATAAATGTTCATTTACACTGAACTTGTGTTCTGGAAGTGGGTTTTGGTGGATCTCAAGGATTGTTCAGAACTGCTCCTGGTTCTGGAAGTGGATCTTCAGGATGGGCCAGGGCATTGTCCAACCGGATCTGGTCCATCCTGAGGATCCACCAAAACCCACTTCCAGAATCGGGAGCAGTTCTGAACGATCCTTGAGATCAACTAAAACCTACTTCCAGAACATTTTTATTCAAGCAATATCGTCATTTCAGTACATTTTCTTACAATTTCAATAAAAAAGAAGAAATAATAGACATTTTTGCACATTTGCTCAAATTGTTTGTGTGAGAAATACCCCTAGCTATCAATTAGTCATCATAATCAATTAGATTTTTTTCTCTCGACATTTTTTGCTCACTTTTTTCTACTTTTTTCATTTTTCTTTAAATAATTTTCTCGTTTCCCGATACAGTACGTTGTTTTTACAACTTGTTCATCTGACAAAAACACACTTGTCCATCTATTAAACATTTCAATCAATTTTCCCATTTTCTTATAAGTTTTTCTGTGTTTTTTTTTCTCCACATTTTTCCAGTGGTTTAACTTCAATTTCGACATACCTGTTGACAAAAGAATTATGGTCACCGGGAGCTGGTTTGTTTGCCGCCAGTTTCATAGCCATCGTGCCAGGTTATATAAGCCGATCAGTAGCTGGTTCATATGACAACGAAGGCATTGCCATTTTTGCACTGCAGTTCACCTACTATTTGTGGGTGAAATCGGTGAAAACCGGTTCAGTGTTCTGGGCTGCAATGGCCGCACTCTCCTATTTCTACATGGTTTCAGCATGGGGCGGATATGTTTTCATTATCAATTTGATTCCGTTGCATGTGTTTGTTCTATTACTCATGGGACGTTATTCACCACGTCTATTCACCAGTTACACAACCTTCTATATCTTGGGCTTGTTGTTCTCAATGCAAATTCCATTTGTTGGTTTCCAACCGATCCGTACCAGCGAGCACATGGCCGCATCCGGTGTGTTTGCATTGATCTTGGCCGTGGCACTTCTGAAGCACTTGCAAACCATCCTCTCGAAACAAGAATTCAAAAAACTCTTCATCATCGGTGCATTGGCTGCCGCAGCGCTCGTCTTTGGCGTTGTCGTTGTTTTGACTCTTTGCGGCGTGAGTATTTTTTCATATCTTTTTTCGGATGATGATTGTGGTTTTGGTAAAAACATACACAATTTTGCAAAACAATCATACAAATTGATATGTTTCATTGAAGAAAATATCATTTTATTCGAAACAGTTGGGACTTTCCCTAAGAAATGACCTATAACTTCAATTGCCATGGAGTACAGGTGTAGAAAATCATACGTTTTTTCTCCATCATATAGGTCGTTGCACCATGGAGTGGTCGATTCTATTCGCTTTGGGACACTGGCTACGCTAAAATCCATATTCCGATCATTGCATCGGTGTCAGAGCATCAGCCGACCACTTGGTTCTCATTCTTCTTCGATTTACACATTTTGGTGTGCACATTCCCCGTTGGCATTTGGTACACTATTAAGCACATCAATGATGAACGTGTGTTTGTCATTTTGTACGCCATTAGCGCTGTTTACTTTGCCGGTGTCATGGTTCGTTTGATGCTCACACTCACACCAGTCGTGTGCATTTTGAGTGGAATCGCCTTTTCAGGCCTACTCGATGTATTCCTTCGTGAAGACAACTTACCGGAAAAATCACAGAAAGACGAAACCGATGAACAACCAACCGAGAAAAAACAACTTTACGATCGGGTTTGTGTCAAGACTTGTTATAATAATATTTTCGTTAGTTCATTGAACTTTTAACAACAACAGCACTTGAACAAACGTAATTGAGTAAAATATTTTTTGGTTCAAATTAAGGCTGGCAAATTGAAGCATCGTCCAAAACATGAAACGGCACATGATTCGAACGGTGGAATTGGATCAAATTTGAAGAGCATTGTGGTCGTTGCAATTCTAATGCTATTGATGATGTTCGCCGTGCATTGCACCTGGGTCACGAGCAACGCTTACTCTAGTCCATCGATTGTGTTGGCTTTCTACAATGGAAATGATGGGTACGACTTTAAACCTTTTCTCAATTTACCAGATTTTTCTTGATTTCTACCGTTATTTCATATCGATTGTCAAAGTTTAGCTACGCAATATTCAATTTATTTGCGAATGTTTAATAAAATCAATAATTTGCTTCGCAGAACTCGAAACATTTTAGATGATTTCCGTGAGGCTTACTATTGGTTATCTCAGAATACGGCCGATGATGCACGCGTTATGTCATGGTGGGATTACGGTTATCAGATAGCGGGAATGGCGAATCGAACGACGCTAGTAGATAATAATACGTGGAACAATAGTCACATCGCACTGGTTGGCAAAGCGATGTCATCACCTGAAGACAAGGCCTATGAAATCATGACATCACTCGATGTCGATTACGTTTTAGTCATTTTTGGTGGTGTTATTGGCTACTCCGGCGACGATATCAACAAATTCTTGTGGATGGTGCGTATTGCTGAAGGTGAACATCCAAAGGATATTCGGGAAAGTGATTTCTTCACCGAACGCGGTGAATTCCGTATCGACTCAGAAGGTGCACCCGCATTGCTAAACTGTTTAATGTACAAATTGAGCTACTATCAATTTGGCGATTTAAAACTTGATTACCGTGGACCATCCGGTTACGATCGTACACGAAATGCAGTCATTGGTAACAAAAACTTTGATCTTACCTATTTGGAGGAGGCATATACCTCAGAGCATTGGCTCGTGAGAATCTATCGGGTGAAGAAGCCACACGAATTTAATCGTCCAAATATCAAACCAAGCGAACGTGTCGTTCCATCCGGAGATTACGTGTCGAAAAAGGTGAGAGTCGTTCAAAAATTTCGAATAACAAACAAAATCAATTTTTGAGATTATAATAACTCAACTAAAGCAATTCTTATCTGAATCAAAGTAAAAATTGACATTTTGCTTATGCACATTGCACACTCCTTGAATCTAATTCGACCTATGGTTTTCTACTTTCAGACTGTGAAGCGGAGAAAGGGTATCATTGCCCGACCAACTGTCGTCAAGGGCAAACGACCTGTGAAGTAAACCATCCGAAATGAAATCAAGAATTTTTTTTTTTAGAGTTTTCGATAATTTATGAGTGCATTGTTGAAATTTAATGGTCGACAGGGCAGATCAAAAATCACACAAAATCACACACACACACTTTTTTCTATCTGTTTTCTTCTTCTTTATTTTTTGTAATTTCAATTTAAAATGCATTTTTAGCCCTCATTTTGCGTACGTGTTTAGATTTGTTTGACGCCTCGTTTTAAACTGAATATTTTCAAAAATATTCAACCAAACCGAACTATTGTGAAAACATACATTAGTGTGTAGTAAAATACGTTGAGGTAATACAACAGAAAAACCAAAAAAAAACAAAATTACATGTAAAATTTCATACGATAAGTTGAGTTAATGAGAGAGAAAGAGAAACTAAACTAAATAAACAAAATAGATTGCAAATTATGTTTCAAATAAATGCGATACAAAAGATGAAATGAAGTTTTTTTTCCTAGCTTAAAACCAATCCTAATTTAGTACACAATAACATTTTACCCGGAGTTGCTTATGAAAGAGCTCAGTAACGCGTTTCCTAAAATCCAATGCAGTTAGTATTATTTCCACACCAATGCGTTTCATCTTCAACTCATCTAAAATTGTTTTTCTTTTCAATTTTAATTATTTAATAGACACAAAGAACGCAGCAATCAAGGATGATATTCCGAGAAAATGCAAATTCAAGAAGTATACATCCTAGTAAATTCAGTCAATCAAGAGATTTATTTATGAAATGCATCTAACTGTCAGACATTTCACCCGAGTGCTCTTTGATAACGTAGGATTCAAACTAAAATTTCTAGTATAAATAAGCGTGAACATTACCTATTGATTCAGTACATTTGAATAAATCATTGGCAAAACAATATCATAAACAAATACGAATTCAACACTTTTGATCCATTTCGAATCAAGAAAATGAAATACTTCAAAGTTCTATTCATTTAACTGGTGATTTTCTCTGTTTACTTGAATGCAGTGTCCATCGAAAAGCGACCAGAACTTTGCAGCTGGTGAACAAATTTCGGGGCAGCGCATCACGATGACCACGTACGAGTGGCAAGAAGCAATCCAGAAGCATCTACCGCTGCTGTAAATCCAACTGAAACTCAAAAAGTAGACACAAAAAAAAACTAAACGATTTTGGTTGCCCTCAATTTATAACCCATACATATTCTCCATATTTTTTTCTTTTATTAAAGTGCTCCCCACCACCCATGGTGGGGAAATGATGATAAATTTCAAATGAAAAAATTTAACCTCTTGTTCAAAATGTTCGACTTGATGAGAGGTTAGAATTACGAGAGAAGATGAATTGAAGCATATCACTACAAAATATTATGACCGATGGCATGTAATTAGTCAAAAATCTGCACCCATTTTCATCCGTTGCCTTATTGTATCCATTGTTTCAAAAGAGTTATTTAATTTTTACCGAATATTTTTTTACGCAGACTACAGAATGGAAGTAATTATTGCAATATTCATTCTATTTGATGTCATATTTAAATGTACCACCACTTCTGGTAGCAGAGAACTACCGCAATATTTAAATAAATATTGTTACATCGTTTCTTTAGTTTGACCCTATTGAGGATAAAACTTTCATTATTCTGAAACATTTTCGGTTTTGTTCATCGATTATGAGTTGATTTACACTCTTTCATTGAGCACATGGTGAAATAAATTAAATTCTCCGAAATTTTTCAATAAAGAAAAATCATATTTAGCGATGATTGCACATTCCAAAAACGCTAGACATATTTTGATTAAACGGTGTATCCAAACTATCGACTTTGCACTAGTTCGACTCATATTTATCTCGCTTGAACTGGTACCAATTGAGAACATAACGGTTTTTAAGAGATTCAGCGAATACTATTCGTAAATTAGATGAATATAAAATTTCAATGTATATTTCGATGGATTGGGCCAGACCTTACCTTAAATCACCTTATATTTTGCAGACGAAAAATCAATTGTTTTTTTTTGTCAATAAACCTTTGAAACACTACGACTCACAAGGGAATTTCGTCAATGGCAAATCAGTGCAGATATTTATTTTCTAAGTCATGTTCTTATCATTCGTTGTCGACCTATGAAAGATGACCAACATAGAGAAAAATGTTCAAAAACTCCCGCATTGCCATATGTTTCAATGCAAGTGTTTCTTTGTTTATATTTTGGATATACATTTGTCATATCATCTCATTTGTATGTGTGTGTTAGTGTTTTAAAACTGATTGCATTCATGTATGTATGGTTCGCATCAGTGTCAGTGGTGCAGGGTGTCTGTGCGAGGTGCATTCAATGATTTCAGTTGACTTCCAAAATCGGTTCGTCTTTGGATTATTTCGGACATAATATTCTGCATTTTGTTTTATTTGCTCATGAATGTCATTCAAAAATGTTATCCGAACCCAAGTTTGCCGTATCAATGGAAACGTTCGCCAACGTGAATGTCATCACATTCTTTCTTAGATTATAACGTCTGGCAGCAATCCGTTTTCAAATTAATCATATTGTTTTGTTCAACTCAACGAAAAATGATGAGAATGAAAAAAAATTCTTTATCAGCTATCGCTCAAGGTCAATAAAATGAAAACTATCTTTGAAGATAATCGTGAATTGCAATAGCAATAATAAAAAAAAACGTATCGTTTTAGCCCAATCACCAGTCATTACAGAGTTGAACGAATCAATTTGATTTCTGAACAAATAATCAAATCACCTGTTTTGTTTCAAATTCAATACGACCAATCAATCATTATAATGTGGCATTTTCATGCACTTTACGGTGTATGTTATGTACACATGCACACAGAAAAAATGAACAGCCACTCAGCTGAAAATTAATTGCCTATATAAGCCAAGCCCGAGCTGCATTGATTTCAAACTAAAAACCGACTGAGCACATTGACACATTCAAAACAGTGGCGGCATTCGATACGAACTTTTTATTTCTCCGTCAAGTATATACACCGACAGACAGACGGAGCGTAAAAGAGAGAGATAGAGAGAAAGAGAGCGCGCCTTTCGATGTTGGCAACACTGAGCAACTTATTGTGTGATTGAATGTCATATAGCAGCGAACACATTGTGCGAACTGTATTCCACATCGTGAAGTTACATCGATTCAATCGTGTGGTGTGCTTTATTTTTGGACGTTTCAATTTATATAGTTTCCTTCTTTCCTTGTAAATAATTTTTTTCATTTCTCTTCAAACCGATCTGATATCTGAACGTGAAACAAAACAGAAGTTAGTTCATTCGATTGTGTTTCCCTGTGTATTTCCCGCCCTAAATCCAAACACCGTCTACTTTTCATGATCACACGGTGTGTGCGTTTTTTTTGCGCAAAAAAAAGAAGAAAATTTCTTTTAACCCAAAATTCAGTCAAGTAAAAAGTTTTTTAAAAAAAAGCAAAGAAATTTATAAAATTAAACTGATGGGAATCATGTCATCGAAAAACGCTCAAGAGAATGGAAATGGTATTAACGCCAAACGAAGTAAACTATATAATTCCAAAGTGACCGTTGTCCTAGGTAAGTCGAATCGTTCCCTTTAATAATTTAATTGACAATCTGCGCTCGCTCACTCTGTCTCGCTTGATGTGTATTTGGATCGAAGCATTCAGGCACCAGGCGTTTTGGAGTGCGCATATATAAATTTTTTTCTATGTTCGTGTGTTACCAATTTGAGTTTGTCATAGCAATTTTTTTTTATCTGATAGATTTCTCAATGTGTATCAAGCTCGTGTGTTATCAGTTAATCACTAATTGAAATTGGATTGTTTTTTCTCTCTCTCTCTCTCTCTCCCTCTCTTCTTTGCTTTGTTGCAGGCGCACAATGGGGTGACGAAGGAAAGGGGAAGGTTGTCGATATGCTGGCAACTGATGCCGATGTCGTGTGTCGATGTCAAGTAAGGTCTTTTCCATTATCATTTGGATGCAAATACAAATGATGTGTCGGAAATTTATTTATTTTCTATTCATCGCCACCGCTGATCAGCCATATTCCAAATCGTTCGAGCTCATTACAAATTAAATTCGTTGTCGTCATAGTCGCCGTGTTATGATTTGATCTCTTTCATTGCATTCCCAATTGATAATCGAAAAATTTTTTTTTTGCCTTTGAAACAACGAAATAAAACGAAGGGAAAATCAGTTCAAACCAAGTGAGATTTAACCTCTGTCTCGAGAACGCACGGTACTGTTGTCGTCGAAGTCACAACAAAAACACATGTTCACGCGAATTCAGTTTTTTGCGCTTTAACAGCGGAAAAAAAGTTTTTTTTTTCTCAATAGGCTAAACGTAATGAAGCACTTGTTAGTCATTGCGCCGCGACACAGAGACAGTGAACAGCAGCAGTAGCAGCAATGACAACAACAAAAAATAAAAAAAGAACATACATTGATGATATGAATTATTATAACTTTGATATTTAATACGGTCACAATTTCAGTACTTTGAACAGAGAAGTTACAAAGTTCTTGTTCGAATATTACGTCATCTATACAGCGTTAAGCATATGTATATTTCGTGCATAACATCAATAATTAGAGTTGAAAAATTGACGAGAGAACAAGAACGGAACAATTCAATTCGAGTTTGTATGCTATTTATGTCTTTTCAATCCAAAGTATTTGTTTGTTTGTTTGTTTGTTGGTTTATTTGTGTTTTTATTTTCTTCGGAATTTAAGATGCGATATGCAAGCGACATTGCCGACATTGACATAACTTTCGGTGGAAATGGTCGGGATGATATTGAAAAAAAAGAAGAAGAGAAGAGCAATGCAAAACAAAAGTCATCGTGATTTTTATTTCGATCGACTTTTTTCCTACGTACGAGAAATTTACCTTTTCGGTGGATTGCTGAAAATAACAATCTCACATTATCTTCTACTTTGGTTGTTGTTGTACAAAAGAATTTTATCTTCTTTTTTTCATGATGAAAGCGAAATGAAGACAATATTTCTTTTCGAAGCTTCGATTTTTTGCTTTCTTTCTTCTTCGATTCTTTGTTTTTTCAAGAGCAAAAACCTCCGTTCGCCCCGAAAATTATCTTAAGCGTTTTAATAATAATGCTACACGCCAGATACAGACTGTGTATACAAAAATTATATAACTTTGTGCTACAGACACAATATTATTGTGACGCTTATTGTGACTTTAAGTTATTTATTCATAGCGAGCGCAAGAGAGAATAATATGATCCAAGTAAATTGGCAAAATTCCAACAAAAAAACAAACAAACGAGAAGCGAAAGCAGAAAAAAATTATTTTCTTTTTCTGTAAGGCTTGGATCGGTGCGGCATAGCATGGCATAGCTTATCAAAATTTAAAAATTCGCAATAGTTCTCTTATTCTCTCTCTCTCCCCCCCTGTCTGGTTGGGATTAAATAAGAAATTTGCTAATTAGCATTTTCTCGTTTCACATTGAAATGAATTCAAGTGATTCATGCCAAGAGATTTGTGCTTCTACAAAAAGCTGCGTCTTAGTAAACACAAACACAACACATATGTACATAGTCACAACCACGTGAGTGACATCTAATCAGCGCCTTTCGATTATCTCTCTTGTCGTTGTCATCGTCATCGTCGGTGTGTTTTTCTCCTCGCTTCTTCATTCTTTTTCCCCCTTTCTGTTCCGAGCGCAAACAGCGCGAATCATTTGATTTGTGTATTTTCCAACAGAAAAAACGCAACATACTCCGCGCTACAACGAAAATATAAGCTTCAAAAATGTCATAAAGTTTCAAGTTTATTAGGTCTCGGATTCGCCTTGTTGCTACTGCTACTGCTGCTTTGGCTGTGTCTGTGTGTGCTCAGGTTGTTGTTTTTTTTGTCATTTTAAATTCTACGATGAATTTGTTAGAGCAAAGTCAATGTGGCATCTTGAGCTAATGAAACGAACGAAGAATTGGATAACGGCCAATCGTGCTCGCGTATTCTTTTTACGTAATGAACGCCTTCAAATAAAAACAAACTGCAAGGTGTTTGTTTGTTCAGACAACAATGAAAGATTAACCGTTGAGAAAATGAGCATTATCAATGCGATATATAGACATAGAAATGAATCCAAAAACAACATTGAGCTAACTTAATGATGATCCATTACAAGGAAACGAGAACATTATTACAATTTCCGCATTTCGATTCGTTTTTTTTTGTTGTTTCTTTTAGGGCGGTAACAATGCCGGGCATACTGTTGTGGTGGATGGCAATGAGTTCGATTTCCATTTGCTTCCCAGCGGTATCATCAATGAAAAGTGTGTTTCAGTTATAGGTAAGAACGAGATTTCCATATGCATTTCCTTGGAAACGTTTCTGCAATTCAATTCCACAATTTTCACTTTGGTTTGGCCTGCTCATTCTTATGAGTAAATCCAGAATTCATTTCGTACTTATCATTTAATTGACACCTCCAGATCTAAGAAGGCTTTAAATTAAGGCTCCAATTTGGTTAAATCTCTTGTTTGTTTCAATTTAGGCAACGGTGTGGTCATACATTTGCCAGGATTGTTCGAGGAATTGGCCAAAAATGAGGGCAAAGGATTGCTCAATTGGCAAAATCGCTTGATTGTCTCGGATCGTGCCCATTTGGTGTTCGATTTCCATCAGCAAGTGGACGGTTTCCAAGAGGCTGAAAAGGCAAACACTGGAAAATCATTGGGAACAACCAAAAAAGGCATTGGCCCAACATATGCAAGCAAAGCCAACCGCACAGGAATTCGTGTGGGCGATTTACTCGGTGACTTCAATCTGTTTGCCGAAAAGTGAGCTTTGATCGGCTTGAAAAGTTTGGTGCAAATTTTCTAATGAAAACGTCATTTTATCACCGTATAGATTCCGGTCCATAGTATTATCGTATCAGCGGATGTATACAGATTTCAATGTTGACGTCGAAGCTGAACTCGAGAAGTACAAAGAGTACGCTGAAAAATTGCGACCGCTGGTCAAGGACACAATTTCATACTTACACAATGCATTAAAAGAGGGACGCTCAATATTGGTCGAGGGTGCCAATGCCGCTATGTTGGATATTGATTTTGGTACGTACGATGCATACCTTTCATTCTGATTCAAAAGACAGTTTTTTCACAGAAGAAAGTTGGAGCATTTGAAAAAAAAACTTGTTGAAGAAATTCACTTTGAATTCTTCTGAAATTCAATGTTTTTAAATATGTTTGACTTTTTATTCCGTACATCTTAGTTCGTTCTGTGTACACAAATTTCTTTCGTATTTTTTTGATCAATTTCTAGGAACCTACCCATATGTCACAAGTAGTAACTGCAGTATTGGTGGTGTTTTGACTGGTTTAGGCCTACCGCCACAGACCATTGGCGATGTATTTGGTGTGGTTAAAGCGTACACAACGCGTGTTGGTGATGGACCGTTTCCCACAGAAGATCTCAATGAGATTGGTGATTTGTTGCAGACACGCGGCGGTGAAATCGGTGTAACGACAAAACGAAAACGACGATGTGGATGGTTGGATTTGGTGTTATTGAAATATACCTCAATTATAAATGGCTATACAGCAATTTGCTTAACAAAATTAGATATATTGGACACATTGAAAGAGATCAAAGTCGGTATTGCTTACACGCAAAATGGTAAATCATTGGACCATTTTCCCGGTTCGATCAGTGATTTGGGCAAAGTTCAGGTGGAATATATCACACTGCCCGGTTGGCAACAATCAACAGAAGGTGTTCGTGAATTTGATGAGCTACCGAAAAATGCCCAAGACTACGTTCGATACATCGAAAACTATTTGGATGTTCCAGTGAGATGGGTCGGCGTTGGTAAGGGACGTGAATCGATCATCAATGTCTAATAAGCCAACACTCTACCAATAAGCTAACAACAGCAAATGTACAAAATAAACAAAAAAAAAATTAACAATTTCGTAGCCACAAAAAGCAACAAACAACAACTACATAACACCTTTTCAATCCTGCGGCATTCACGATCACTCGGAATTTAGTTTTTCCCCTTCTTCTTCTTTTTTAATGAGGAGATAGAGAGAGAGAGAGAGAGAGAGAGAGAGAGAGAGAGAGAGAGAGAGAGAGAGAGAGAGAAAGAAAGAAATACTTACTTATAAATATCAAATATTTCCAAATATTTTACGTGGAAAAATTTGAATTAGAACAACTTTTTCCAGCTTCGAGAGCATTTTACCACGTTTTTTTGAGATACACTTTCAATTGATTATTCTTCGTCTTTTTTTTGCAACACAGATTTTTTTCTGCATCGATTGTGATTTTCGCAAGATTTCGTCTTGGTGCTATTGAATTACAAAATAAAAACTGTAAATCGAACACAATTTCGATTATTTGAAATTTGTTATAACCACATTCAAATAAAAATAGAAAAAAAGTATACCAAGAGTTTTTGATTTTTTTTTTGTTCGAGTTTTGTTGAATTGAGCCGTTGATTTGCTATTTTTTCTTCAATTTGTTGGGTAAGGTCCAATTCAGAGGTCATTAACCCGTAACACATGTTTGGTTGTTCGTTATTCGTCGTATGCGACCTCTGGTTACGTCAACAGTGAGGAAACACGTGACGTATGTAGTTGATTATTCCAATTTTATACGGTGCACCGAAATGACCTCGAGAATGTACATTTTTTTAAAGATTTTATTTAATTATTTTATTAATCGGTTGATTTCATAAAATTTATCATAAAATCTCAATCGAAAACGCCCTCTTCACTTCATGTTCAAGATTTTCGCTTTCTAAATCGATAAAAAATTCCATTTAGTAACGCTGGCTTAACAATAATTATTGTCATATGTATTCTTTCTATTTTCGCTACATCGAAAATCATTCAGATGTTCCAGTAAGGTGAGTCGGCATTGGTAAGGGACGTGAGTCGGTCACCAATATCACATAAGCCAACTCTCTACCAAGCTAACAACAGCAAAGAAAAACAGCAAACAACAACCATTTCGGCATGATCATATCGATAGGAATGCATGAGATGGTCGAAGGACGAGCACAATTGAACAATTATTATAATTTGCTCAAAGAAAAATCTCGACAGAGTGAAAGACAAAATATTTTTCTTTTCATCATATTTAATTGTAGATGCAAAATAATTTCTTTTTTTTTTGTTCTCTGTTTCTATATTCGATGCATTTGTTCATCAGGATAAATTCTAGAATGTTCTTATTTACACAAAAAAAAGTCTGGGTAGTTTGTTTGGTTTTTATTTGGGAAGGAGTAGCCTCTACTCGCTCTCTCTCTCTCTCTCTCTCTCTCTAAAATTCGACATTTTCGGTACCCGAGTCGGTTGCATCACATTCAACGTAATTATTTCCCAGCAATGTAGTTGCATCTTCATCCATCAGTTGGATAGGATAGGATATTCCATCGCCCAAGCTGCAAAACAAGAAAAAAAAGTTGCGAAAGAAAAAAAGAATTCAATGGCATCAATAAAATTTACAGTCACAAAATCCGCAACAAAAAAAAATGTTTATATTGTCTTGAAAACACAAGAAAAAGTTTATTTTTTTTCTATCAAATTCACTAAGTGTATTACAATAAATCATAATTAATTGTTGTGTTTTTTTTTGTTGTTGTTTGAATCTACTAATAAATAAAGAATAAATGATTTTTCTTTCGCTTTTTTACGCAGAAAAAATACGATTATATTGTGAACGTAATGAAAAAAAGAGAGTACATTAAGCAACGATCATGTGCAGTTGCAATGACATTAATTGTGTGATTTAACAGTCAGTTTGCAATATATATAGTCTATAAATCTAATCATTGCTGGACACATTTGTCATAATTCGTTCTAATTTATCTAATAAAAATAACAAAATTATTACAAAATGAAATAAACTGTTTGTTCGATGGCAAATTAACATATATGATTTCGACATACGAGGTTTGCTACGGTGTTGATTCTATCGATAGAAGTAAGCCTAATAATTCGTTGCAATTGACAAACTATTCGCATTCGTGAATTGGTGGTAATTTTCTCGCTGTGTATGTGCGTGTGCTTGTGTGCAATTCGGCTAATGGACTCGAAAAACTTATCTTTTGAGAGAGAGAGAAAAAACATCTCGTCCATCTGCTTTCAGACAATTCATGCAATCAAATTACTTCAATATCCAACGAACTTACAGCAAACATAAACTTGCTTTAGAAAATGGCTCGAAATTCGTAATCTTTCGAAGAAAAATCCAAGCTTTCTTCTCAAGTCAAATTTGCACTTGGAAGCGAAAAATTTGTTCTCACACTTTAGCTGCGTACCAACAAATCCCAATTGTTTGTTTTTTAACATAATTTTCACACATCTCTTACTCAAATTAACAGCAAACAAAGGACGTATTCAAGATTTTGTTCTTAAGTCAAATTGCCGTAATCATAAAATGCGTAGAAAAAGAAAAACTCCCCGATTTCTTTCGCTACAGACATGAAACCAACCATCGCTAGAGTATGCTGCATAATATTAAACGCACCCATTCATTTTTCATTGTTTTCGAATTCTGCGCGAAAAAATTACATTAGGTTCCCATTAAGAATGGATGCGTTTAGTATTATGTGACTTGTCGCTGTTGTGCATTTACGTTTGACACTAACAGTCGTAGCATGAAACCTTATCGTATTGACTAAATGTCGCCGCTCAATCTCGATATTCATATATATATTTAAAAAAAAACCATATACATTTAATATATAAAAAAGTGATTCAGCATCAGATGAAATGAAGTTAAAGCTGTGTATGAATTGATCGTTGATCATTGAGGCAATGAAGAGTCCCATTTTATATGTTGTTGTAGTATTTGCAGAGCCCAATAGCTCTTGCATGGTCGTTGATGTCGGTTACGCATAATATTTTGTTTTCTTTCTTTCGTATGTATGAATTAAGTCATGTGCGTATGTTTTTTTTTCTTGTTCTTTCGAATAAATTCTCCTTTTTATGCGTGTTAAACAGATTGAACCAACAGAAACGAAACAAAAATGTTGAACCGTAAATGTGTCTATCTGTTTGTTTCATTTTCAATGGTTAGTTGACCACCATCGGCTGGAAGGGGCGGCAATTGTCGGTCAATGTGATTGTTGACCGGTTCTTGGTTTGGTGTGTTGAGTTGTGTCGACGTGACGGTGGTGGTGGTGGTGGTGATGGTGGTAGTGGCGTTGGCGGCGGCTTCACGATAGCCGGCGTTGTTTTGGTTGAGAAGAAGCATTTTTCTTGAGTCATTTGTTTCATTGTTTGTCTGAGTTGCATCGAATTTATTCAATGAATATGAATTGCCCATTGATTCATAATTATGATTCGATGTGTGGCCAATATTTCCAGGGAAATGCTTTATTTGCACTGGGTACTGCAGCCCGTCCCCAAAGCTAAATACAACATATCACAGTAACTCATATCAGTCTCATTTCAAAATGTTTCGGTTTTTTTTGTAAATAAAAAGCAAAAGATAGAAAATTGTTTTTTTTTTGTTTTTGATCTGATAAAAAAATATTATCTACACATATACAATGTTGCGTCAATTGGATGACTCAGATTTTGGCTCGGTTATAATTGCCTTTTGTGGAAAAAAAGGGACACACATTCCGCTTATCAGATAACCAACTTGTTTTTTTTATAACACGTATTCACACTCAAACGCAATAAAAAGAACCAACTGCAACAAACCGTATCGTTTGTGTGAATCATCGGAGGAGCGCATTTTAGTCACGCGTGTCACTTCATAAGTTTGCAAAAGATGTTAAGGTTAGTGAATGAGTGGCATTAGCTAAAATGAATTACTAAACTATCGTTAAAGCGATATTCTTGTTGTTTTAATTACTTTCCGATAAAGAATGATATTGTTCGCATGCTTTGTACGAATTTCCTTAATCATGCTTGGTTGGATGGGGCTTGAATTATTAGGAAACAAAAACAAAATTGAACGAATTCCTATAGCTACAACTTATTTGTCGGCGAAAATTACGTATTAGAATTAGAACATTCAGCTGTGTTTTTTTGGGTCAAACCAAAAATTCTATGACAAAATTTAAAAAAAAACAAAGCTCGAACACTCACCTCGTAAATATTGGTAACAGCCATAATCGTCTATCATCGCCGAACACTTCTTGTATATTGTTGTACCGGCCTAAATTAAAACCATTCTTATCTGGTCCTCCAATTCGAAAGATCGGCGTTCGAAATGCCTCTGTTTGACCACATCCAATGTAAATGAAATACAATTCGTTTGTCGCCATTCAATGAAGAAGGTTTTACATTCGATGGAAATGTTGTAATCCCATCCAATCAATAAATGTAATTGGCAGTCGAACAAGAGGCAGAAACCAAAAAGAAATTCAACCATCCGAAGAATTGAAGCAATTTGAAAAAAAAAAATAATTGAGCACATGGATTAAATACGAGGGGCTTATGTGTCATGCGAGTCTTTCAAATGAGCTAGCGAATCATTGTATCTTCAAAAAAAAAAAAATTCGACTGACTCGCATTGATTCATGAATTTGTTATGAATACTATGTACTTTGGTCATCTGGTAGGACTCGTAAGTTAATTCTCATGAACTTGTGCGTGTCAGAACTGACTTGCGATGATAAATAAGCCCGATTAAAAATGACGTCAGGGGTATTTGATTTTGGAGGCGAAATATATCAAAATTGATAAATGACACGTACCTAATGTGGTGCGATTGAGCGCCACTAAGTAAATGTGATATCCAAACAAGCTAACTAAACTGATAGCAAACATAGCTGCCACAAAAAACAAAAATAGAATATGGAATCGGCCGACGCCACCCTCTAGTTTATCCTAAAATGAATGCCACAATCATGAGATTATATAGAAAATGGGTTTAAAATCATGATATTCTTGATATTCCATGCAATTTTTGACTTTCAATCGTCAAAAAGTCAGAAATTCAACAATCGAATCTACTCACTTCCCAAAACAAGATGAAATATCTCATCACTGTTGCCGCCACATAGATGCAATATAGTAAACCATATCCAAGGAACAATACAAAGTATTTATAGTTGGTAAAATTGACGCAGTTATTCACCCAGGCTGGAAATAGTAAAGTCATAGGATCATGTTATTCATATGACATGTTCGTTTACATGCTTTTTATTGATATGAAAAGAAAAAAAATTGGAAATTAAAGTAATTTGTCACACTTACGGCAATGATGATCCATTTTCAGTACACACATACCGCACACAGAACAGTGATGGGCTCGATCTGGTTTGATCACCATACATTTGTCGCAGTATCTCAGTGAACCATTCATTGTTCTACCGTGGAAAAAAATAAAACGTCAACGAAAGCGATTAACGAAATAATTTATAGATTAATTTTATTTTTGCGTACAACATACCGATTACTGATGGGTAAGTCTTTGGCAAAGATTTCCAAAACTCGTTTCTGCGCACTGGGATTATCGGCTTGCGTCAATCGCTCCATTTCCGAAGCGGGTATACGAAACTAGAATTAAATAGAAAAAACAAAACGTCAGTAGTTCATATCAAAAAGGCGTAACAATTGGGTAAGTCGAAGGGATTAAACCTTTGTCGGCACTTTGCCGACTGCCGTAAACACTGTTTGCCAATAAGACCACACAAACATTGCAAAGACTATGTGATAAAATAGTAAAAAAACTACTTGTTCGATCGTCGTTTGCACCGAAACTGAAATGAATGGAAAAAGTGATTAGGGTTTGGTTTCGGGACACAAAGTGAATGATTGTGTTCGGATGGAATTAAATGTCAACTTACAAAAGCATAATTGAACAACATAAGCATAGTATGACCACGCGATAATAGCTACAATGAATAACACTGGAATCCATTTAACGGCACGGAAAAACCAAAAGCATGGCCCATGCCTTGGAAGTTCTGTCGATGTACTAAAGACATCATGATGATGCGACGATGATGTTCGCTTATTTGAATAATTTTCCGCCATTTGTGTTTGTTTGTTTGTGTGTTTGTGGAACTGTTTACCGGAATTAATATGAATCTTTTGTTGTTGCTGCTGTTGTTTGTGTAGAAATGTTTTCGTTTTACTTAGAAATTATGCGATCCTGAATGAATTTTTTTGCTCCCCGTTCACACTCGCTCCCGCACGTTTTATTACCGATCGCGCTCTGTAGTGTGTTCCTTGTGTGAGCTGAGCTATCAGTGTGTGTTGTGCTCGTATCTTTTAATCAAATCAAAATACTTTCTTTCAAATAATTTTCATATTTGTTCTTTTTTGTTCTTCTTCTTCTTCGATTTTGTACATTTAGGAAACTCTCTCTCTCTCTCTCTCTATAATTCGATTCGGTTTTGAAGGAAATCCACCGACACTTTCGATATTGAATGCGGCATGATTCCTTTATCGCTCGTCCAATTTCAAGCAGTTCGAATGGCTGAATTTGGTGATAATAAAATATACAGTTTTTCCTCGTCGTACAAAATATGAAAATACAAAAAAGTTTACAAAAAAAAAACTATTATAGATAGACCGAACAATGTATATACATGTCGCGTTTGACATTCAGAACGTCATGAAACCATACATATATTTGAATCGTATCAAATTCACATCAGACATCCAGAACGAAGTTGGCTGCATATTCAAACCATTCGACAAAATTATAATGACAATCTAATGAGTGCTGATATTTTGAATGATTCTACAAACAAATTGGTATGAATCAAATATTATGATAAAATGCCATTGAATGAGAAGAAAAATCACTCAAATTGTTTGATAAAATCTCCGCTTGGAACGTGAATCATTGACGAAAAAATTAGTTACGTACTAGATTTTGAAACTGCTACCCGAAAATACTCAAGCAAAGCGAATCAGCAACAGCAGTATTGACAGTTGTTGAGTGGATTATTGGTGTGAGCAAGCGAGCAAGAGCGAACAAGCAAGCAAAAAATAGAACCCGTGAATGTGTTACTCTCTCACACTGTATTTGCGCGTGTGTGTCTATGTACTTGTACGTACTCTCTATAAGTCACTTTACACTCTGTTCGCACACGACATTTCCACTGCCAATATAGCAAGAAGCTGAAAAAAAAACTTTTGAGGCTACACTGTCTGTGATAGTAGCCATTTTCGATTTTTTTCTCTCTATGTCAAATCCGAAGGAAAGGAAAAAATAATTTTGATTGCGGTCGTATAGGCGGGTATATTGTGATGTTCGCGCTCTCATAAATGTAAAAGAATATTTATCGAAAGAAAAATTTATTAGAAAAAAACCACGAAAAGCAGCAGAATAAAAAAAAGAGCAACAACCAAAAACTCGGATATAGTGTTAATAGTTGAATATCATAAAGGAAAAATCATTTTAAATGCAATTGGAATAGAAAAGAAATTTTCATTGAAAGCCGAACCATATATATATACAGAGTATATATGAATACAGAGAGTTTTTTTTTTCGTTCGTTGGGTGAATTGATGTGAGTGAGTGAGAGAATAAGCCTAATCAAGAGGCCTGGATATTGATTTTTTGTTCTATAAAAATTCAAATAAGAAAAGTGAAAAATCAAGTAAAAGAGTTCTTTTTTTGTTGAATTTGAGAAAAAATTAATTGAATTGGAGAAAAAGAATCAACGCGTCAACAAAAAAATTTGGAACGTTTTAAGATTTTCTTTTGCGTGAGAAAACGAAGACGACGACGACGACGACGACCATAACCACGGCACGTACAGAAATTTACTGGTGGACAATAATTTTATTTTGGTTCGTAAATGAACGTTTCGGATAATATTTACAGAACCATTTGCACGTTTTCGAGCTGCTGGAAAAAGTAGTTTAATTTTGGCAAAGCAAAGCTAGTAAGTTTTTCAGTGGGAATTTAAAAAAAAATGTTTTCAATTTGTCATTCAGTTCTGATAGAATCATTAATTTAACTTTTTCCTCGTGTGGAAGAAAAGAAGAAAATGTGTGTGCGTGTATGTGTATGTGGAAAATCAAATGAAAAAAAATTCGTGTGTTTGAATAAAAAAAGATTGAGTGTGACTTGAGAAGAAAAAAGAGAGAGAGAGAGAGAGAGAGAGAGAGAGAGAGAGAGAGAGAGGAAGATCATGTCGATGCATTTTTCCAAGACATCAATGTTGAAGGGAAAACTAAATATCTATATTGGGTGATTTTCGAACGTGTGCTCTCGCACTCACTCTCTCTCTCTCTCTCAGCAAATGAGAGAATGTGTGTGGAGGGTGGCTCGCAAGCATTGACCTTAGCAACCTGTATGTGTGTGGGAAAAGAAGAGAAAAAAAGATGAAAAACGACGATGAGCTTCTCTCGCCTCACGAAACAAGATGTCTGATAAGCAAGCAATTGATAAGCTGCGTCCAGCTTTTCACACACAAGGCGATGAGTTTTCCTGGACACGTTCATGACGTAATAATGTTCGATGGTTGTTGCCCGTGTGTTGTTGTTTTCCTTTTGCCCGTCTACATTCTCGTCAACTCGAAAAAGCTCATTTTAGAAAAGTTTCGAATGTGCGATTTCGAAGAGATGAAAAACGAAAACAAGAAAAAAAAACAAAATTGCTTCATTCGTATTCCGTAAAAGCTTCAGTTTGATCTCATGGTTTTCTTCGTTCGAGTTTTATTTTCTCTCTCTATTTCGCTCGGTGTCATTTTGTTGTGGCAAAATGAATTTATTAATGCTATTTTATTGAGAAAAAAAACATTTCTAACACCCTCGGCAAACAATAAAATTCAATTTTCAACAGGCATACACAGTCTTTTTTTAGTTGTGATACACAGTCTAATCCAAGATAATCAATATTATCTAAGAAGAAAAACAACACAAAATTATTGTTATCGACCGACAAATATGAAGCAAAAAGAAAAAAAAATCACCAACAGCCATTCGAAATAGACGGATATTTTAATCAGAGCAAGTCAAATGAATTGTTTAGATAGGCTTGGGATTAAAACAAAATATAGAAGAAAGCAACAGAGACAATGAAAACCACAATCACAACGCCAACCAGAGAATGAGGGAGTGAAAGATAGATAGATAAATAAATAGGAGAGAGAGAGAGAGAGAGAGAGAGAGAGAGAGAGAGAGAGAGAGAGAGAGAGAGAGAGCTTAAATAAAACATGCCGCAATTAGCACGTCCATATATTAAATGTGTCCGTCGTTTCGAATTCGATAGTTGTGTTCACCTTCGCGGGCCGTGTATTGCCATATCACATGCGTATTTGAAGTAAAAGTCGGAAAGCATGTACAATCGAGCCATTCTCGGTTCGTCATCATCATTCACTTTACTTTGTGTGTACACACATTTTTCATATTATCTTTTGCACCTTTATCTATCGCGCGCACTGAATGAAACATTTGACGGCAGCTCTGACGACTGTTTTGTGCGTATTACTGCTGTTGCTACTGTTTTTGTGCCGATTTCAATATATAGAAAGAAGAAAAATCGGAATTGGGTATTCGGCAGCATTGCCAAAGCGAACCAAGATATACTTTGCTGAAAAAGCGAGTCGAGAGTCAAAGAGACGTTTTTCATACGAAACAAAAAGTAATAAATCCCATACACATAAAAATGACATGTGTCAATCAATTTTTTTCAGGTTCACAACTCAAATAGTAAGTCTTTTAACGCCCAACTGTACCTACTCTTTCAACAGTGCAGTGAAACACTGGCAACAACAACGAAAAAATCAATCAAGAGATTGCAAAAGAAGCAGAAAAACACACACACACACATCCAAGTCATAGAAGAAAAAAAAAACGAAGAAAAACACTAACAACTAAAAAAACAAGTACAAGTTGAACTGGACCGGGGTCGAATCAACAACATTACGCACTTTTCCCATCGCATTGCGTGCACTTGCCAATGTATTTATATGGTATTAGCTCTGGGTTGTGCTTGATTAGTTAAAACAATGTCTCTCGCTCTCAACTATGATTGATACTTTTACCTGTGCTCTTGTTCTTTGTCTCTCATATTTGATGTTTTATTTGTGTTCTTGTCGCTTTTTTTCTTCATTGAAATCGAATAACTGGATGCAAATCATTCACAAGAAAATTAACATGAAATTGTCATTTTGCTGATGAAACAAAAAATGTCATAACAACACCAACATCAGCAGCGGCAGCAGAAACTATGACATGGATTCCAATAGGATTAAGTTTATGACATTAAAAGACAGGACATTTAAAGTGGGCTTTTATGTAATTTTATAGAGCAGCAGCAGCAGCGAGCGAAACGAACGAGAGCACAAAAAAAACACACATACACACACACACACATACCACTTGCACACGATGCCTAGTGAATCGTGCATTTAGCAATGAACCCACATACTCAGTTGTGTTTTGCGAGAGCAGCGCAAGAAAAAGCTGTACACACGAGCAACCCAAATGATCTTGATGTTCATAAGTTGACGCACTTACGGAATGTATTCAGCACACTGGAGTTCTGTACTAATCACATGTACCGTGAGTGAGTGTGACAACGACGGTGTTTAGATGCATTTCTATGCTTGCACGAATTATTGTGCAATATTTTTGTGTGTTTTTTTTTCTCTCTATATTGGCCGATGATAGAACGAAGAAAATAAATGACACACACGAAAAGCAGAAAAAAAAGCACAACATTGCCATATTGAAAGCGAGAACACGTACGTAATTCACCGTGCTCGATGTAATGCATTCTCGATTAGGCAGTTTTCGAACATGTGCAATGAATGCGACAAGTACAAACCGTGTGCAAAACGCACGAAAAATAAAACAAAAACCAAAATTACTTATGCCCATAACAAAAGTTGCACACATAATTTCGGAATCTAATCCATGCTTCGCAAAAAAACAAAAAAGAATTGAAGCACAAAAAAAGCACATTTGCTCGCACTCTCTGAAAATACGTGTGTGTGTGTGTGTTTTTGCATTTCGGAAAGGTCAGACCGTCTATAGTCGAAGTCTCACACTTCATGAATGAACGAATTCAATCAAATAAATGGAGTTTCCATACACACAATTTATAATTATCTGCTATTAAATCTGAAGGCTGGATTTCTCTATAAAATAATTCATAAATTTTTTTTCGCTCTTCATTGCTTCGCGCTAGGTACATATAAACAAAATACGACGCGCGCGGACTAAAGACACTTTGAATCACGTGAGCTGATAATTTGTGTGTATTACTTCACAAATTCAATAAAGGTTCTCTTGTTTCAGTGTTTTTCGAGTTGTTGTTGTCAACAGCACAAGAAACAACGACGAGGAGAGCGTATGAATAAAACATTGTTTTCAAAATCGAAATTTATGAATGTGACTCTAGCAAGTGCACACACGCGCGCGCGCTCATCAAGACATTAGGCGAGAGTACGAGCGCAAAAAAAGACGGTCATTGTTTTTCGATATGTATTGAGAGTTTTTCTCTCGCTCTCTCTCTCTCTCTCTCTCCCTCTCCCTCGGTTGCCTCGACAATGAATGAGTGAATGACTTGAGTACCTCCTCAGTTTAATTTGCATGTAAAAACAAATCTAAGCTTTAATTTTTTCGCTGTATATGTCACCACTTGCTAGTAGTGTTTATTTTTTTTCGAATTCGATGTAACCAATAACATTCTCTTGTCTCTTTTTTTTGGTAATCGGTTTTTTTTTCTTCTATGTAGCATTCAACGGAGTACGAAGCACAAAATAGAACAACTAAATTAACAACAGAAACAAAAGCACACACAAACACTCAAAATTAAAGGGAAGAAGCAACAACAACCTACAAAATTCGTTAAAATGTCGAATCAACCCAAGCAACGTATTCAAGTTCCTGATAGTCTTCGAGATATTTTACTGGAATTTTCTATAGCCTATTTGCTTGAACAGCCCGGTGATGTGATTGACTATGCCGTTGAATTCTTTACCAAGCTGCAAGAGAATAGAAAATCAAAAATTTCACATGATGACGTACCACCTTCACCGGATGAAAGTATAATGTCATTAGATGAGGGTATGTATGCACAAAAATTATATTTTCTCATTCTTTCTGGATTTTGTATGTGTTAAACACACGAATAGTTTGTTCGGTGTTTTTTTTTATTCATTTGTGAAACGAATTCTTTTTATATGTTTTATTACGAGAGCCATAAATGTTTTGTAAATGAAACCCTGCGTCAAAAAATCAAAACCAAACAACAAAAACAACAACAGCAATTCAAACAACAGAAAAAAAACAACAATTGAAATGACTGTTTTGCATTCGCTTGGAAGATAACATTAAATGGAAATGGCTTTTACGTGTAAATCATAAATTCTATTCTATTGTGCAAATAAAAGCGACAGCAGCACCAGCAACAGTAGCTGGGGAGAAAGAACGTAAAAATCGGTCGTCAGAGTTGGATATTTCAATAGCTGAATCCAGTGATTTATCCAATTCATATTTTAGTTCATGTATCGAAATATTGTCATATTCAATGAGCTGCTGCTTTAAAATAGATCTATAAATGAGAACACACGAAAAAAAACCAATAACAATGTCATACACACACACACACACACACACAGCACAGTCTTCTTTATACCGTGCTGGTTTTAAATGAGGGGCACACACTTTCTATTAGAACTAAGAAAGACAGAAAAAAACGGCAAACCGTAGTAATAATAGATTTTCCATATAAGTACATGTATAGTGCAAATAGCCGTACTGTTGTTTGTTCGACATAAAATAGAGAGAGAGTGAGTTCAAACATATACCAACCAACCAACCAACCAACCAACCAACCACACCGTGAGTGTTTTGTTATTCTTACAATTTTGGATCGCGTGCGACAATGCACTTCATTTCAATTTATATCCGAACACCTAAATGCTCCGATCCTTTTATGTAAATGCAAAGCTATCGTTAGTCGACAATAACAAAGCTAAACGAACAGAGAAATGAGCGCTTCCAATATAAAATGAATAAAAAAAAGCAGCAGCAGCAGCAGCAGCAGCGAGCGTACGTACGTACAACGTCGCCATTAAAAATACATTTTTTCATGAAAGTCGAATTAGAATAATTTGTTGCAACGATATTTTTGGTTCAATTAATATCATCCGGTGTCTTGAATGCTGCTGCTGCTTCAGCTGCCTGCCTGACGATACGCTTTTTGTGTGCGTTAGCATATAAAAGCGTTTCGGTTGCTTCGTCATTTCGCTTGGCTTTGCATTGCTCTTCTATTCGTTGTGGCTTTTTCGGTTGGGATCACCATGAATAAACGGACCGTTGTAGGAGTTAATGTGTGAAAAATTTAGTAACTATGTCTCTAAAATGGTGTGCTGCTTTTGAATGTATGAATCCATTTCTAAAGTGGATTTTCCAAAGCCGCAATTCGACAAGAGTGAGTACACAAAGACTGCTCATTTTGGACGATTGCTGAATAAATTTATGTATGCCGCCGTCGTCGTCGTCGTCGTCGTTGTCGTCGTTGAAAATAGCGCTGAAATTTCATCAAGTCGTCATCGTCGTCGTCCGGCGTACAACACTCCCGCACATGACTTCAAACGAAATCGATATGAAATCCAATCGATTACATTTCTACAAACGGTGTTCAGTGTTCAGTGTGGTTGCCATTCATTCGGCAGTGCCGCACAATGCAATGAACCGCAATTTCGTTTGCTTTTATATGACACGGTGTAGCAATAGCAGCACAGTCAGTGCAAATAAAATGAAGAAAGAAAAAAACAACGAAATTATGCCCAACTTCCTTCTCGCTCCCAAAGTATACGTTTCAAACTAATATTTAGATTACGTTGCACACTTTACATACGCCATGATTTATATTTCTAGCTCTTGCTCTCGGCCGCTCTTTCGAATATCTCTCTCCGATAGTTGTGTGTATAGTCGTGGTGCGGTGTGTATGCCTGCCCCACACACACACACACACACACACACACACATTCAGTAAGCACAAGCCATTCTCGGTGTGTATTCACTTTGCTAAGCCGGTTGGAAACTTTTCATTTTATACTTCATTAATTATATGCGTTTATAAATATGAATACATCTGTTTGTCCTTCCATATCTTTCACATTCTCTCGCTCGCCCGCTCTTTATCTCTCTATTTTTTCTCTCTCTCTATTCACTTGTTGTTGTTGTTGTTGTTGTTGTTGTTGTTGTTGTTGTTGTTGTTGTTATGTGTGTGTTGTTCTTTTTGAAGGCACGTTCAAGCCTTGAAAATGACTAGAAATTGTATCACAACTCGTTTGTTTTTTTCATTTTCAATATTCACAAATGCGTCTAGCGAGTGGCTTTTCAATGATATTTGAGGGAGAAATATTAATTTGCATTTCGGAATTTGTTTTTTTTTCGCTATCTCGCTTTAATCGATTGAACCGAAAGAAGCGTGCGCGCACGTTACTACCAACGCTTGAATTGTTTTCGTCGAATGCACACAATAGAGAGAGAGAGAGAGAGAGAGAGAGAGAGAGAGTAGAGGAACAATTTCAGGCAGAGAAAAATATTTAAGTAAGGGTTTAGCTGGAATACAGTTTTTTTTGCTTGAACTAGACTTTTGCAGCTTGATAATGTTCTAACGAGTACATCGAAATGAAGTAACCGTCCCAGGAAAAAAGAAGAATGAAAATGGTTACGTTGTTGCAATTCTACGCAATGATAAAAATTGTGTCTTAGTTGTTCGTGTGCTCATCAACATTTTGAACAAAGGCATTTGATATCATGATTCAAAGTCATTTGCTATCACACAGCCATTTGTGAGCGCGAGCGCTCCTCAACCAACTAGAAAGAGTGAAATGAATGTGTGCCAAAGTGCTTCTGATTTTGATCAGTATATTTCAGCGGATAAAATTTATTTTTAAACGACATATAAGCCCAGAGAAAGAGCACCAATCGCTTCTTCACTCATTTCGTTGTCGACTTGTGTGTGCCTTTTTTTCATCCTTTATTTTTATTCGTATTTTATTCACGCTAAATTGTTTCATAGATGGTTATAAATAATTTGCTGTGTTTAGCCTAACATCATATTGTGTAGCATATACATAATCACGTAGCACGGTGCGTTCTGCGAACATAGGACATCCTACTCTCTGTTGAGAGTGAGAGTGAGAGAGAGAGAGAGAGAGATGTGTTCTCAGCTCACGCTGAAGCAAATTGGACGTAGGCATTTTTCTGTTCACTGAATTTCGATTGCGATTTTCTCTCTATCTTGATATATATATGCATATATCCGGCACGGGAGCAAAATATGGTTTACTCCCCCTGTTTTTATCAGGTTTATCATCAGGAACAGGATGCTGTTATTTACACACACACACACATTGGCAGAAAAAATGCTCTTTTATGTTTCTGTTGTTTTTCTTCTCATCTCATTTGCATGGCATCACACATTGATACCGATCGAACCAGGGAAAACCGCACACTTTCTCTATCCCTCTCTCTCTCTCTCACTCTCTCAAACAACCCTACTGAAGATGGAACGAAAATTTAATCGAATTAATCTATAAAATGAGAGAAAAACATACACACATATCAAGTATTTACATTTCAACACCGATTCTAAACTTGCCGAAGCACGAAATACGTTCCTAATTGATCAAATCGGCCAATTTGCAGAAAGGCAAACCGAAACGAGCAATCGAATCATATCTTTCTCAGCTGCGTTCTTCTTTTGTATATACATATTTCAACCACATCATCCTGTGTGTGTGTGTGTGTGCAAATACACGAAATGCTAATGCTGATGATGATGAGGATGATGATGGTGAGGATGATAATGGTGATGATGATGGTAGGGGTGAAAGATCCATGCACTGGAATGGCCACCGTTATCACGCTCATCAGTTTTTGTTTGACCGTTGATTGATTCAGATGCGTGGCAAGAATACAGTGGCGCAAATATTTTGAACTGTAATCGAAACAAACGCAACAATAAAGTGATTAGAGCACCTAAGCGAATCAAGTGATACCAGACACAGCAAAGAATTTTGAAGAAAAACCAATTTGATAATAACATTTTGAAAAGAAAATTTAAATCACAAATATATTCGTGAAAAGAAAATTTAATCGAAAAGAATATCGAAAAAAAGGAAAATATTAAAAGAATGCTTGAACATATTGAAATTTCAAAATTTTCAGAAGATTTTTTGAAAGCATAAAAAAAAACAATTCTGATAGGTCTTTCGTTGGAGCACAAAACAGTGTACTGTTTCGGGGGGGAAAAAACCATTCGACGTTTTTAAAGAAAAGTGTATGGATCGATTTCGTTGAAAAAAATGGAATTGGATCGAATAGCTCAATAATTCAAACTTGGACGTGATTGGGGAATATCGTTGGGAAAAGTGCTAGTTTTCTTTTTTCGTTTGTTCACAAGAAAATGGTGTTGCAAGAGCAAACGGCAAATATGCAAAACTATGACGTTCTTTCTGGTAAGAAATTATAAGTAAAACGATTTACAATTCTTGAATGGCTCTCGTAACAAACGAACAGCAAAAAAAGAAAAAGATGAAGACAGAAATTGTGTCTTTACTGATATACTGCATCGACACAATCAATTTGTTCAATGTACTGTCATGTCTCAATTCAATTAAGTGTGTATTCAACTAGTTGTCTCGCGGAGGAGTGCTGTGTGCTCTAAATTGATGTGCATTTTGTGTGCTTGCTATTGTTCTTTTTGTTTCATTTGTGTTTCTCTTTTTTTTTCTGAATTCGTTGATCTAAATATTAAATTTGGAGTGTTTGTGTGTGTTCATTTGCCATTTCAGAGCCTTTAGTAAATCGATTCGCTACTCGACGCAAATCCGTGTTCGCCGAAACCTATGACCCAGAGAACGATGCAGACGAAGATGAAGGAGCCGCTGCAATATTCCCAAAAAGTGACGAGCAAAGAGCACGTTTGATAGAATCTGTTAAAAACATCTTACTCTTTAGATCACTGGACAAAGAACAAGTAAATCAAATACTGAGTTTTTTTTTTCATTCATCTTTCGAATTTGTTTAAACAAACCATAAAATGTGTGCCATTTCGTTATATATATCAGTATTATTTTGTGCCATATTATTTTCGTTCGAAGACACATCAAATAAAGTGAATTGCTATTTTTCCGCCATCTCTACAGCCGCTGTTGACGTTGTCGATTTTGAAAATGATGATGATGATGGTACTTAATACAAAAAAAAAACAAAAGATAACAATTTGCTAGTGTTGGCTTCGAACGTTCGTTCGACCGTTCGACAATATAAAAAAAAATTGTTTTGTTCGTTCGTTCGTTCGAAAGTTTTGTAAAAAATTATTTTGTTCGTTCGTTCGTTCGAAAAACTGAAAATTATTTTTTTTGCTCGTTCGTTCGTTCGTTCGAAATTTATGAAAAAAAAATTGTGTTCGTTCGT